TCAGTTCATGCCTATAGCCCAGCACTTTGGGAGGCGAAGGTGGGAGGATCACTTGAGGCCAGGAGGTGGAGACCAGCCTGGTCAACATATTGATACCCAGTCTTTACACAAAATTTTAACATGAGCTGGGTGTGGTGGTGCATGCCTGCAGTCCCAGCTACTCGGGAGACTGAGGCAGAAGAATCGCTTGAACCCAGGAATACAAGGTTATAGTGTGCTTTATCATCCAGCTGTTGGATTCCAGCCTGGGCAAGAGAGACTCTGTTTCTAAAACAAAACAAAAGATCATGTAGGTAAAGTAGATTTAGAGAGGGTCTGGCATAGACAGCAGGAAAAAATCTTGAAGCAACCCAAATGTACAATAATAGGGAATTCAATTACTTTTTATTTTTTGAGATGGAGTTTCACTCTTGCTGTCCAGGCTGGAGTGCAATGGTGCAATCTCGGCTCTCTGCAACCTCTACCTCCCGGGTTCAAGCAATTCTCCTACTCCAGCCTCCCCAGTAGCTGGGATTACAGGCATGTGCCACCACACCTGGCTAATTTTTTTGTATTTTTAGTGGAGACAGGATTTCTCCATGTTGGTAAGGCTGGTCTCGAACTCCTAACCTCAGGTGATCCACCCACCTCAGCCTCCCAAAGTGCTGGGATTACAGGCGTGGGCCACCACACCCAGCCACTTTTTTTTTTTTTTTTTTTTTTGAGACAGGGTCTGGCTCTGTCACCCAAGCTACAGTGCAGTTGTTGATCTTAGCTCACTACAACCTTCACACGACCCCCTCCCCAACTGGCTCAAGTGATCCTCCCACCTCAGTCTCCCAAGTAGTTGGCATTACAGGCATGAGCCATCACGCCTGGCTAATTTTCATATTTAAGTAGAGCTGGGGTTTCACTATGTTGGCCAGGCCAGTCTTGAACTCCTGATCTCAAGTGATCTGCCTGCCTTGGCCTCCCAACTTACTGGGATTACAGGTGTGAGCCACTGTGCCTGCCCAAGTACATTATGATACATCAGTAATATATATAAAAAGCAATAGTTACAATAAACATTAAAATAGTACTTTCTAATGATGAATATTTGCACATATATACCTTTATCCATCTGTTCTTTTTCCCTAAGGAAAGCAACAGTATTCTTTCTTCTTCTTTAAGATCAGTTCCAGCTGGGTGTGGTGGCTCACGCCTGGAATCCCAACACTTTGGGAGGCCAAGGCAGGCAGATCACTTGAGGCCAGGAGTTCGAGATCATGCTGGCCAACATGGGGAAGCCCTGTCTCTACTAAAAATATGAAAATTAGCCAGTTATGGTGGCAGTCACCCAGGAGTTGCTTGAACCCCGGAGGTGGAGATTGTAGTGAGCCAAGATCACGCCACTGCACTCCAGCCTGGGTGACAAAGTAAGATTCTGTCTCAAAAAAAAAAAAAATTAGCCGGTGTGATGGCATGTGCCTGTAGTCCCAGCTACTTGAGAGGCTGGTGGATCACTTGACCCCAGGAGTTGCAGACTGCAACCCAGCCGGGGTGACAGAGTAAGACCCCCCTGCTTTCAAAAAAATACAAAAGAAAGAACGAACAAATTAAAAGAAAAAAGGTAGGTAAACACAAAGAAAAATTAACTAATCATTCAATCATTCATTCATTATTGCCACCGACATTAGTAGAAATTAATTAAATGCCTACTATATAGCTGTTCTGGGGCAGAGGAGAAGAACCAGACATTTAAAAGCATCTCTGAAGAGATGGAATTACCGTTCATTCAAACATCCCCTCCACCATTCATTTACCATTCATTTTAAACATCCCTTCTGGTGATATTTACACAGTGTTTACTGAGCATCTACATGCCCGGGCACTGGGAATGCAGCAGTGAACAAAGACAGAAATCCATGTTGTCATGGGCTGACATTCCAGCAGAGGAGACAACCACCGAGCAGTAACTACAATTAGCAATGGGCAATAAGTAAAACGCAGACAGAGTTGGGTAATATGTGACAGAGATGTTTGCTGCTTTCCTCTGGGTGAGCAAGGGAATTATTTCACTGAGAAAGTGACATCTGTGTAAAGCCCCAGAAAAGCGAGGAGAGACAGGTGGGTGGCTCATGCCTGTAACCCCAGCACTTTGGGAGGCCCAGGTGGTCGGATCATCTGAGGTCAGGAGTTCGAGACCAGCCTGGCCAACATGGCAAAACCCATGTTGGTCTCTACTATTTCAGTCTCTACTAAAAAACATAAGTCAGCCAGGTGTGGTGGTGCATGCCTGTAATCCGAGCTACCCAGGAGGTTTACAAGAACCCTCAAGGTAAAGGTTGCAGTGAGCCGAGATGGTGCCACTGCATTCCAGCCTGGGAAACAAAGTGAGACTCTGTCTCAAAAAAAAAAAAAAAAAAAAAAACCTATTTAAAAAAAGAGGTGAGGGGAGGAAGGGAACTATAAGGATACTTAGGGGAAGAGTAAGTTCCAGACAGAGGAACAGCCAATGCAAAGACCGTGAGGTGGGAGCACACCTGAGAATGTTCAGGAACAGCAAGAAGGCTGGCGTCCAGTGAATAAGACTGTGGAGAAAAAAGATGTCTGGCCCTGCACAGTGGCTCATGCCTGCAATCCCAGCACTTTGGGAGGCTGAGGCAGGAGGATAGCTTGATCCCAGGAGCTGGAGCAGCCTGGCCAACATGATGAAACCCTCTCTTTAAAAATAAAAGAAAAAGGCCAGGCGAGGTAGCTCACACCTACAATCCCAGCACTCTGGGAGGCCGAGGGGGGTGGATCAACTGTGGTCGGGAGTTCAAAACCAGCCTGGCCCAAGTGGCGAAATCCTCGTCTCTACTAAAAATACAAAAAAATTAGCTGGGCATGGTGGTGGGTGTCTGCAATTCCAGCTACTCACGAGGCTGAGGCAGGAGAATCTCTTGAACCCCGGGAAGTGGAGGTTGCAGTAAGCCGAGATCGTGACATTGCACTCCAGCCTGGGCAACAAGAGTGAAACTCCATCTCAAAAATAATAATAAATAAAAATAAAATAAAAGAATTCTAAAAATAGGATGTCTGGTGTTTGTTTCCAATATTTTGACTAGCTACTTTTTAAAAACTTATTTAAAAATTAAAGATCAAACAGTATTAGGTTCCCAGGCTCAGATAGGCCAGCGTTAAAAACTCATTACCTTCTATGACGCCAAGCCAGCTATTTCACCCTCTGAACCTCAGTTTCTTTATCTATAAAATGGGTATTAATGATATTATACCACAGGGTTGTGTATGCAGCGAAAAAAATGCAAATAAAGCACTTACCCAAGTGCCTGGTTCCTAGTAAGTGCTTAAGAACTATTTCTGGCCATTATTAACCCATTACTCTCTCCCAGCCCCTAACTCCTTTTGGGGTGAAG